CAGGCAGGCGCAGCGGTGGAAGGGCGAGAGGAGCCGACGCAGGCAGCATCTGAGCCCAAAAACCACCCCACCGCCGCCTCCGCCGGCCTGAGGTGCCACTACTCAGCAGGAAGGCCAGGCTGCCTGCCAGCCCAGCAGGCAGGGCCACTCACACTCCAAACTGCCCCGCCATTGCGGTGCCTACGTCGTGCTGGAACTTGCCCACAAAGTGGAAGTCGGTGAAGAGCATGTCGTAGCAGTAGCCTGCGCGGGACGGAGGGCGGGAGCGTGAGAGAGTGCATGCTTGGCGAGAGAGTGAGAGAATGTGCTTGGTGCTCTGTGCATTGCATGGGGTCACTGCAGGTCCACTGGGCACCTGTGGTGGGCAAGCGAGCGCAGGGCGCCTGTACGCCTCCCCCGTCGCAGCGCAGCACAGCCCCTGCCCCGCCGCTTGCACCGCAGGCACACTCACCTCCGTACATCATCCCCCAGTGCCCGTCGGTGCGGGCGTCCTCGTTGAAGCGATTGGGGATGGAGTTGGCGCGGGTCTTGGTGTAAGAGATGCGGATGCCGGTGACGGTAGAGGCGGAAGCCATCCAGTTGACCACCACTCCCGAATCAGGGTTGATGATCTCGATGTCGCGGACCTAAAGGAACACAGCGGCGGAGGGAGCGGGTGGCAGGCAGGCGGCGGTGGGGGGGGATGAGCGAGGGAGCGGAGGGGGAGGGGCAGAGCGCAGCGCGAGGGGAGGGCTAGGAGAGGGGCGGGCGCGGTGAGGGGCGAGGGAGAAGGCGGCGAATGCATGCGGCCCGAGCAGGAGCAGCGAGCCCCTGCTGCTGCCGGCATGCAGCCGGCAGCATGGTCTTGTGGTGGCTGAGGGAGCGAGGCAGGCGGAGGTTGCCTCACCCAGCAGTCCCGCACGCTCATCAGCTCCACGCCGTTCCAGCCGCGCTCCTGCAGCCGGCCAGGCACAGCCTCAGACAACGGGCTGTGGGCCAGCGTGGGCGTGCCCGCCTGGCCGCCCCAGGGATAAGCGCCCTGGGCCAGGCATGCGCGGATCCCTGGGCCCTCGCTGCGCCCTCGCTGATCCCCGGGCGAGAGAGAGCAGACATCAAACAAGATGAAAACTATTGTCTGACACACCACCCCCACTCTGGACAGGGCAGAAGAAGGGCTTCTGCCTCGCCGACCCTCAGAGTGATGCGCCACACCCCGCGGCGAGGGGGCTGACTTAGATGTGGATGAAGGGAGGGCAGCGGGCACTCACCAGGTGGTGCCCCGCATAGAGCTCCCACTTCATGGCCAGCGTCATGCCCTCCACCCCGCTCTCGGTCACGGTGGGGGCCGGCTGGTGCAGGGCCACCTTGTTGACGCCCGCAGCGATGGGGAAGGGCAGCGGGCGCTCCAGCGTGACCTTCTGCGGCAGGGTTTGGGCCGGCGGGCGGGCGCCAGGGTCGGCGGGAGACGCGGCGGGAGACGCAGGGGGCCAGGGCACGACGCCACGTGACTGCTGAAAGCCGGCTGGCCGTCTGGCAGCCCACAGGCAGCGCCAGCTCTGCGGCTGCCAAGCTGCCTGCCTCCCCCCATGGCTGGGCGTGCTGTTCGCCCCCACCGACACCGCTCACGTTGCCTCGGATCTTCAAGACCTTGACTGTGAACCGCGACAACGCCTTTCCGATGTACTTCTCAGGGGCCTGCATGTTGGCCCCCAGCCTGCAGGCGATGGCAGCGCAGGTGCACAGCTCTCGGCACGGGGCAGGTGGAGAGCGGCGGCATCTCGGCAGCAGAGGCAAAGGGCGCAGCAGGGCGCCCGGCGGCGGCGGCGGCGGCAAGGCGGCGCGCGCTCACTGTATGCTGTTGAAGCGGCCCCCCACGTCAGTGAACCACAGGTCGTAGTATTGGCCCTTCTTGAGGCCACGCGCGCTGTTGACCTGCGGGGTGTGGGGCAGGTGGACGGGTAGGGGGCATCATGTGGTGTGCAGAGGAGGCACAGGCTGGGGTTTAGAGGGGTTTGGGCCAGAAGGTGCCGGCCGCACGCGTGTGCCTGCTCCCCTCCCGTCCTCTCCCAACCACCCTGCTCGCTGCCGCCGGCTCACCGTGATGACGACGTCGCCGCGGCTGGCGGCGCCGGTGGCCACCGCCGCGACGCGCCCCTTGCTGCCCCGACCCTTGATTGTGAGGAAGCCGCCTGCGGGGTGGAGGGCGGGGAGGAGGCGGCGGGGTGGGGGCATGGCTGTGGGCGGTGCCTATATGGAGGGAAAGGTGGCTGCGCCACACGCATTGATGCACACACACACACACACACACACACACACACACACAAATGAGCGCGGCCGCGTGCACCCCACCCACCCACCCAGACCCCTCCACCCACCCCAATTCACGTATCCGCCGCTCTCAGAGTAGGGGTCAGGGCCGTACACATCAGTCAGACTCTTGGGGATGTTGAGCACCGTCTTGCCGGGCCCCTCGCCGCGCAGCACCACCCGGGAGCTCTTGATGATCAGCTTCTCGGTCAGGGTGTAGGTGCCCTTGGGGATGAGCAGCACGGTGTAGCCTGCGGGGAGGGCGGGAGGGGCAGGGCGGGTGTGGGTGTGAGCAGTCCAGGTCACACAACCAGCAGCAGCAGCCAGCCAGGCCGCCAGCCGCCCAGGCTCACCCGTTGCCGGCCGCTGCTTATTGGCCCAAGAGAGGGCTGCCTGCAGCATGGCTGTGTCGCTCATGCCCCTGCGCTTGAAGTCAAGCACAGACTTGGTGACGGGAGGGTCGGGGAGGGGGTCGTTGCCCTGGTGATAGCCTGCAGACAAGAGTGGGAGGAGGAAGATGCATGCATGGGGGGCGACGGGGGGAGGGCGAGCAGCGGCAGCACTTGAAAGCATGCACACCCTTGGCACACTGTTGGCTGGCCACAAATGCCTGAGCCAGCCCTCACCGGCAAAGCTGAAGTCCATCAGCCTCCCGGCGGGCGTCCACAGGCTGCCGCCACGGCCCCACAGCTTGCTGTTTGCGGCAGCGACAGGGGGAGCGAGCAGGGAGAGCGCCAATAGTGTGGCGGCGGCGGCGGCGGTGGCCGGGCTGGGGCCCTGCATGCATCGCGTTGGAAGGGGTCGATCGTGTGCGCGTCGTTATTCATTGGAATCCCATTGGACAGGCGCGCCCACACCGCTGGCCATCTCGGAGCCGTTCACTTGCTTGTGGAGGACCGGGAACGCAGCAGGGGCCTAGCCCGCAGCGGGATCTTCTCACAAAACCGCTTACCGCAGATCTTCGCATAGGACCTCTGAAGTCAGGGATCTGCACAGATGTCGGTGTGAACTTCTCGTGCAGTGTGTGTTCTACTCTATTGGGTGATTATGGCGGAGAGATGACTGCAAATGATGCGGGGAGGGACAGGGTGGGGTCGAGCGCATCTCTGCCGATGACGTGGCGGCGGCCCCGCTGGCGCGGCGACGGCGGGTTGGCGGCAGCCCTTGCCAAACCAAGGTTATGCCACCCTTCAAGCAAACGCCATGCTCGCCCATCTTCTCCTGGCTGCGGCCTTGCTGTGCTGCCTGGCAGCGCCGCCGCCTGCTCGCGCCCAAGGTGTGCTGCCTGTCCCAGCGTCGCATGTGCTTGAGCTCAGCAGGCTCCAGGGCAGAGGCTGTGGGCTGGGGGCGTGCAGCAGAACATTGCACCTGGCGCCACCGCCGCACGTAGCACGTACCGCTTCCATTGCGCAATCCAATGGTCCCCGCTGAGCGTCATCACCGAGCCCTCTCAGCGCCTGCCACGCTGCAGATCTGCCCACCTGGGACTGCCAGCTCCAGGGCGCCTGCACCTACTACCACCAAGACCCGCAGAGTGAGGCGTTGTGCCGGCAATACAGCCCTGCCGGTTTGGCGCCGACCCGCCTGTCTGCCTCCCAGCTGTGCATTGGTCTTGTGCCCAGCGCGGCTGCACCCCTGCTTGCCGAGCCGATCCCTCCCAGCAGCGCTGGGGTGCGACCAGCGGCCGCCGCAGTGCGTGCCCGCCGCCCCCGCCGGCGGGGCCGCTCCTGACGGCCAGCGGTGCGCCGCCCGCAACGCCAACATCAAGGGAGAGGTGTTGGTCCTGGATGTCAATTCCCTTTCCTACTCAGGTGGCGTGGTGTGTTCCATGCACCTGGTGCCTGTGCAAGGCTGAATGCAAAGGCACGGTGGGGCCAGGCCTGTTCAAGCGCCTGCTGCGCTTCCCTCCCTGCGCACGTGCATGCGGGCCTTGGCGCAGGCGGCCCCAACAAGCCCCCCGCCGTGACGACCGCGGCAGAGTGCTGCGAGGCATGCGCCGAGCAGGCGGGGTGCAACGCCTGGACCTTCTGCTGGCGCCTGGACGGGTGCGGCAGCGGCTGCACGGAGACGGGTGAGCGGTGCTGGCCATGTTTGCCCCCCAGGGCAAGCCCCTCTGCTTGCAGCCTGCAGCAGCTGTCCCGCCTGGCAACGGTATTATACTGTGCATGTTCTTTGTAGGCAAGACCCCAAACGAGATCGATCCCTCCAAGGAGCTGGGCCAGTTTGGAAGGCAAGCGGGCTGCGGGCGGGGCGGTGGCGCTGGCGCGTCGGGGCACAGCCTGCTGCCAAGCTCTTGAGCTGGTCGCGCTGCGCCCATGTGGCCACCTTCCCTGCTGCCTGCAGCTGTGCTGCGGTTGGCAGGTACCCCTTCCGCACCTGTTCCCTGAAGCGTGTGGCCGACCCCGGCAACGCGCCGGTGTGGGGCGGCGGCGATGAGCGGGACTGGACCTCTGGCACGGTGGGGTGAGGCGCTAATGGGGAGTTCGCCTGAATGCACAGCATCTGTTAGTTTCCTGCAAAGCATAATCAGCTCTGATAGAGGTGCCATGTGATGGCGAGGCCTTCTCTCGAGAGCAAAAGTGCCGCCGCCGCCGCCATCGTCGCCGCCAACTCAGCGCCAGATCGTACAAAGATAAACCAGAGCTCAAATGCAAGCGGCGTCACGCCTAGCTGCGTGCACACATGAGCAGCAGGTGATCGCCCCCACCGGCGCTTGCCGACTCCGCAGCAACCTCAGCCCAGCATGTCTACTGCAATGTCCGCTGCGCGGGTGTCTGCCCCACGGATGAACAGCACAGGAACCCACAAGCCGTCAGCAGCCGCCAGCAGCCCCTGCCGCCCCGCCGGCCGGCACCCCGCCGCCGCCGCCGCCGGCAGCAGGGCGCCCGGCGTCAGCAGCGCCCCCCAGGCCCGGCCCTTGGGCGCGCCCTCTCGCCAGCGCCGGCCCGCCATCGCGGCCGGCAGCAGCGGCGCGGCAGCGGCGGCGTCCGCCGCCGCCCCGGCATCGGCCAGCGGCGCCGCCAGCCAGCTGCCGCGCTCCCCCGGGGCGATGGTGGACCAGGCGGCGGCGGCCATCCAGGCCGCGCTGGACGACGGCGTGCTGCGCCAGACGGTCACCTTCCTCATCCCGGTCAACGAAAAGGAGGCTGATTTCAACAACACCGAGCCAATCGACTACCCCTGCTCCCTGCAAAAGGCGCGGTTGCAGCCATGCCATGCACCGCGGTTGCAGCCTGCGCCAGGGCGCCGACTCGCGCTTCCGCCGCCGCCGCGTTCCCCAGCTGGGCGCGCTCCGGCTGCACCGCCGCTCCCCGCCGCCGGTCCAAGCGTGCCTGCTGCACCCTTGCCCGCCTCCCCTTCCCGCACGCAGGAATTCGACACCGCGTGCGCGCTGGCGAAGAGCCTGCTGCAGCGGCTGCTGGGCACAGGCACAGCCATCGTGGCCAAGCGTATTGACGAGGGCGGCGTGGAGGGGGAGCCCTGCGCAGGTGGGCTGCTGCGGCCTGAGTCGGGCGTGTGTGTGTGTGTGTGTGTGCTGTGGGTGGCTTGGGGCTGCAGGTCTGGGAGTCCACCAGGCCGCGCATGGCCCTGCCTGTCTGTTGCATGCGCTCCCCAACCTCTCCCGCCAGCGCCGCCACCTTGCTCATGCTCGCCGCCCCTCCCCGGCTTCTCATCCCCGCGCCTCACCCTCCCTCGCCCCCTCCCTGCCCTCCCGCTGATGCCTGCCCGCTCCCGCAGTGCTGTTCCCAGAGGACAAGTCGTTCCTGGCGGTTGTCTACCCCACCGCCGACCGCCTGAAGGCGCTCCAGGCGTACGCCAAGGCCGAGCGCCGGCCCCTGCTTATCGTCAACCCTCAGTGGCGCAACGAGGGGCAGGTGCGGGGCGGGGGCAGGGGCTGCACGTGCGTGCTGCCCAGGCTGGCTGGCTCCGGAGCCACAGCGCACGGCACGCTGCACCGTGGCCTGGGCAGCAGCAGCGGATGCGGCACACATGTGACGCATGCGTGCCGCTGCTCCGCCCTGGCCTGGCTGCCGCAGGTCATCAGTGACTTTGGCTTTGGTGAGGCTGTGGGGTGGCCGGCCAGCCCGTCCTCGGCCAGCTGCCTGCGATGCCACCAGCCCCTGGCATGCGTTGACACCTGCTGCCTGGTGCCTTCCCCTTGCATTGATTGCATTGGCGTGCGGCAAGGAGCCCCCCCCTCATCCCCTTCTCGTCCCTCTGCCTCTCCTTCCCCCGCAGGGCCTTGGAAGAAAGCGGCGGAGGACTTCCTGGGCACCTTTGAGCCCACCTACTTTCTTCGGGAGAAGCGCATCGGCAGCCCAGGCGCGCACTCCTTTAAAGGCTGGGCTCTGGCAGAAATGCGCCGCGCTGTACCTGCGCCCGTGGCCCGGCAGCTTTCGTTGCAAGGCTCTGCAACAACCCACCTGTCTTGCCAGAGGAAAGCAATGCCACGATGCGTACGCCAATGTTGGCTCCTGTCGTGCGGCCCCGCTGCCTGCAGGCACGATCGATGCCGCCACCGGCACGCGCTTCAAGACGGGCGGCGTGGTGCGCGTGCTGCGGGAGTGGCCGGGGCAGTACCAGAGCCACGCCATGGCCGCCAACGGCAGCAGCCAGCTGATGGAGGCGACGCCCGCAGAGCCCGGCTACCAGGTGGGCTGTGCTGCACGCGGGCGTGCGTGTGTTGGGGGGTCGTTGGTTGCTCGCTGTTGATGGCGCTGTGTGCGCTTGGATCATGGGAGAGTCGATGCCGGTGTTTGCTCTGACTCCTGCCATCGCCTCCCTTTTCTTCCGGCCCTGCTGCACCGCATGCCTTCTGCCTACTGTATCTGTCTTTTCTACCTCTTTTCTATCTTTCCTCAGGAGCTGGATGCCATGATCAAGCGGGGGCGTGCCGCCAAGCAGGAGATCTTCCGCATCGCCCAGGAGGCCACTGCGGTGTACTCTAGCGGCGATGGCGGCAGCGGCGATGGCGGCGAGGGCGAGGGCGAGGGCGGCGAGGCCGCGGGCGGCGGCGCGGCGCCCGGCAGCGGCGCGGCGCTGGCCGGGTTGAGCGATGCCGACGTGGAGGCGATGGATGCAGCCACGCTGCGGAGGCTGCTGCTGGGCTGCGGCCTGCCCGCCTCGGGACGCATCTCCAAGCTGCGAGAGCGGCTGAGGGAGGTGCGGGACGAGGGGGAGTGATCCGCCCCACGCCAGAGGCCCTGCCCTGGGCAGCCCTGCCCCTAGGGGGAGCCCCCTGCCCCTGCCTGGCCGCCACAGGCTCAGGAGCGCACTGCCCCTTGCGTGGCTGAACATTTGATTCGGAAACCTGATGACTTGCTCAGAGCACTGCTCAGAACCAGAAAGAACATTGAATTTTGCTGCGGCGGCGCGCCTCTTGTTTAACACATATCGTGTGCTGTTGGCTGCGGGAGGCACATGGGCCGCCGGCTGGGGTCGGCGGCAGCAGGCTGGGGGTAACAGCGGGCTTGCGCGGCTTGCTGGGCAGCCTCATTTGGCACCAGCGTGCCCAGCAGAACACTGGCAAGCTTTGCAACGCCAGCTGACGCGCTGCTGGCCTCAGACCCTCCCCCTATGGGAAGGCTGGAGGCTCTGTGCTCCGGGCAGCTACCGTGGTTGGCGGCAGCAGGGGCGGGCGGGAGGCGGGGGGGCCATGGATATGCTGATTTCCGCCGCCCCAGGCCTCTGTTTCCACTACTAGCATTGGTGGAAGCCCATCCACAAGTGGTTGATGGAGTTTCAGGGGCCCATGTGGCCATGGGGTGGCGGGGGGCACAGGGGGGAACCTACCTGCCTGTTGGGGTCGGCCTTCGGGTCATCACCATCCCCGCCTCCTCGGCCTTGTGTTTCAGGTTGATGCATCCCAGAAACCTCCTAAAACACGCAGAGGGGCGGCAGCAAGCCACTCAGGAGGCGCTGCGAACCTGGTACTTCCCGCCCGGTCGCTGACTGCCGGGCAAACACCCCCGCCAGTCCCTCCTCCCAGTGGTGTTGATGTCGCTGTTCATCGCAATCGTTCCCTCGCGCACTGAATAGCCAGCCCAGCATGCTCCCCTCCCCTGGAGGCGGCAGCGTGGGGCGCTTCGGCCTGCTGGCGCTGCAGCTCGCGGTGCTGGGCCTCCTTGTGGCGCAACAAGCCGCAGCACAGAGGTGGGTGAGACTCCAGATGGGCGATGTATCGGGGACCGCAACGGCTGGTGCCTCTCGCCCCTGTGCCTCATGCCTACTCGCTGCCCGCGGTGTGCTCGCCTGGCTGGGAGGCTCCACGGCGGCCCAGACATGCACCTGCAGCCTGGATAGCGCCACTTGCTGGTGGCACGTGGGGGACCGAAGGGCGCTGGCTGGTCCCAGCCGCCTTCGCAGCCGCCTTCGCCGCCGCTGCGGCATCAGCCTGCGCATGCTTGGTGGCCCATGCCGCGCCGTGCCTTGATTGCCCACCCCGCATCCCCCGCTGCAGCTGCGATGCCTCGTTCCGCGGCAAGAGCGCCAAGCTGGTCATGATTGATGCCACAAAGCTGACCGACCCCTATGCCGTCTGCCTGGGCCAGTTTGAGATTTACATAAACGACACCTCATGCGCCCTCACCGTCACCCCGGCGGCCTTCAACTCGCAGCTCAAATACAAAAGCACGGTGAGGCCGCGTGACAGGTGGAGGCAAGCCCAGCAGCGGGGCTGGCGACGGGCGGGCCAGCAGCTGCGCAGCGCACGAGCGCATGTGCACTCATGCCGCCGCTGCCGCGGCGGCCACGTGCAGCCCGCAGCCTGCTGCAGCCACCCACCGGCATGTCCTGCCCGCCTGCCTGCCCGCCTGTAGATGTGCCCCACTGCAGTCCTCAAGGGCGGCGCCGTCATCGGCTCCGACCTGAATGCCGCTCTGAAGCGCGCGCTCCAGACCGCCACCTTTGCCGCCACCTACGTCAAGGGAGCCACCTTCCAGGCCGATTACATGGGGGTGGTGGTGAACACCACCAGCGGCAACCCGCAGGTGGCCTCCTCGGTGACTTATGCCGTTGAGAGCTCCGACTTCTCCTGGCCGGAGCTGGCCACTACCCAGGACCTGTGCGGCCCCACCCCCGACTGCTCCGCCCTCGTCTCGCCCTGCCCCGACGGCCGCTACAACGACGGCGCCGTGTGCGCCATCTGCCCCGCGGGCCACGAGTGCGCGGACGACGCGCTGACGGTGTGCGCGGCGGGCAGCGTGGCGCCGTACGCGGGGACCGCGGCGTGCGCGCTGTGCGACCTGGACACCTACCGCTCCACCGCCGGCGGCTCGTACTGCGAGCCCTGCCCCGACAACGCGTACGCCCACTTCAGGGGCTCCACCGGCTGCCTGGCCTGCTACTTTGGCATGCCCAAGGTGGTTGCGGGCGAGATCGACGGCGTGGCGGCATTTGATGTGATGCCCAACGAGCAGCCCCGGCCGGGTAAGCGCACCCTGCCGCTCCTCACACACGCGCCGTCACCTCGCCACCGAGCCAGGCACCAGCCCGCCCCCGCTGACCCCCGCTCCCCGTCGGCGCCCCTGCAGGCTACCGCATCGCCACGCTGCCTGCTGCCAGCAGCCTGCACTCCTGCACGCTGGAGCACCCCTTCAACAGCGGCTATACCGCCTGCGAAACCACCGACGGCCGCATGATTGCCATCGAGACCGACGTGACCTGCGAAGTGCGCGTGTTTGTGCTGGGCGACAGCAAGTGCTCCAACGCGGACGACCTACCTGTGATGGACGGGTAAGTGGGCTTGGCAGCTGCCAAGGGGGCGGCCTGCTGCCACAGAGGATGCGCTGCTGCTGCCGCTGCTGCGCTGCGAAGCTGACGCCGCACCGCTCCCTCCCCGCTGCGCCTGCTGCAGCGCGTACCAGACCCTGCACACCATCGCCTCTCGCCCCGGCGACGTGGCCGCGGTCAGCGGCAGCCTGGTCAGCCTGGAGCTGAGCCTGGATGGCCCCAGCCCCTCGATCGTCCTCACAGACGGCTCCCTGTCCTGCACGGACACCGGCCTGTCCGTGCTGCCCTTCGACACCACCGGCGCCGCCACCTGCCCCGCCGGCACCAGCGGCGAAGTGCATGACCAGGAGGGCGACTCGATCACCGTGTTTGTGAAGAAGCAGTGCGCCCCCTGCGGCCCTGGCTACCAGTGCGCCGCCGGCGCCGCCGCCGGCTGCTCGGCAGGGCGCTACAACCCGCTGCTGGGTGCCTTCGCGGCAGCCCAGTGCATCACCTGCCCCGCCTACTCCACCAGCGGCCCTGGTGAGCCGCCCTCCTCGCACCTGCTGCTGCTGCCCCCGCCGCGGCTGTTTCCCTGCAGGACACTCTTCTGCGGGCCATGCATGTTTGAATGGGCGCATTCCCGGCGCTGAGCAACCCAGCACTGCCTCTCCCCTGCTCCGCAGCGGCCGACGCCTGCCAGGAGTGCGCCGCCGGCACAGCCCCTTCCCCTACCAACCCGGGCGCTTGCGAGCTCTGCCCTGCCGGCACCTACAGCAAGTACCCGGGCAGCCCCTGCCTGGACTGCCCCGCGGGCACCTTCCGAGTGGAGGGCGGCGGCGACGGCACCACCTGCTCCAAGTGCCCTCCGGGCTCCTACTCGGGTGCCAAGGCCTCGTCCTGCATCCAGTGTGACGACGGCTACGCCACCCCCAGCGAGGGCTCCTCGTCCTGCTCCCCATGGTGAGCCGCAGGCCGGGCCTGCCTGCTTTGCTGCAACGGCCGTGGCCAGCAGCAGCGTCGCGGCAGCTGCCTGCCTCAAGTGCTCCCTGCTCCTGCCTGGCTGGCCTGGGCTGGCCCGGCTGCTCACCCACTGCCTGCCTCCCTTCCCTGGTCGCGTCTGCAGCGGCCCCGGCACCTTCTCCTTGGGAGATGGCTCCTATACGTGCAACACGTGCCCCGCCGGCACCTACTCCAACCAGCAGGCCAACGGCGCCTGCACCGAGTGCCCTCCCGGCCAGATCACTGTGAATGTGAACGGCGAGGGCGCCACGGCTTGCGTGAAGTGCCCCGTGGGCACCTGGAAGCCCCCCGGCGCCACCGACAACAAGTGCCGCTCCTGCCCCGCCGGCCACCAGACGGGGAGCACCCAGGCGGGCGCCTCCACCTGCACCGAGTGCCCCGTGGGCCGTTTTGCGCTCAACCCCAACACGCCCCTGTGCACACCCTGCGCCAAGGCCTACTTTGCCGCCACCACCGGCCAGAAGGTCTGCAAGGCCTGCCCCGCCGGCCAGATCACCGACACCAGCGCGGTCAGCGGCGCCGCGGCCGACGGCACCGGCGCCAAGGGCTGCAACCCGTGCCCGGCCCGCCGCTTCCGCCCCTCTATGTACGCCGCCAACTCGTGCACCATGTGCCCGCGCGGCCGCGAGACAAAGGTGGCCACTGGCGCCTCCCTGTGTGTGGCCTGCATCCCCGGCACCACCCAGCTGGCCACAGCAGACTTTAACTGCACCGCCTGCGGCCCCGGCGAATTCGCGGAGAAGCCTGGCAATTCGGGCGCCTGCAAGAAGTGCCCCAAGGGCTACTCCGTGCCTGATGCTGGCAACAGGTAGGCTGCTTTCTGTTTGCTGTGTGTTCAAATTTCCCACAGTACGAACGGTTCACTAGTAGCTCCACTGCAGCTGATGCTGACTGCCTGCTCTGCCTGCCCTGGTGCAGCGCCTGCGACATCTGCGGCCCCGGCACCTACCAGGACGAGGAGGGATCCCTGGAGTGCAAGGACTGCCCCGTGGGCACCTACACCGAGATGGCCGGCAGCACCGACATCTCTGCCTGCCTGCCCGCCCCCAAGGGCAACTACGCCCCTGGCACTGGCAACGATGGCTTCATCCCCTGCGAGGGTGGCACCTACCAGGACGAGGAGGGCCAGGGCGCTTGCAAGCCGTGCCCGCCCGGCAACCAGTGCCCCGCCGGCTCCGTGGCTCCCACCAAGTGCCCCCCTGGATTCTACGCCGACTCCCGGCAGCCGTGGTGCAAGGAGTGCGCCAAGGGCACCTACCAGAACACCGAGGGCCAGCGCGCATGCAAGCCCTGCCCCGCCGGCAGCTACTGCCAGGCCACCAAGATGGTCACCCCGACTGCCTGCCCCGCCGGCAAATACGGCATCAAGTTCTCTGCCATTTCGCCCACTGACTGCGCCGCCTGCCCCATCAACGTGAGTGGCCCTGTGAGCAGGCCGCGGGCCCTGCTCGGTGGTGCAGCTGAGCTTGCTTGGTGTTGTAACTGCCTGGCCCTCAGCCCATGTAATCTGCCAGTCAGCCGACAACTGTGTGTAACATCGCCTGCTGAACCAGCCTGCTGTCCCTCCTTCCCTTCCCGCTGCAGTCTTTCACCCGCATTGTTGGCCAAACCAAGTGCACCAAGTGCAGCACCGGCCTGTGGACCGCACGCAAGAAGGGCCAGAAGCTGTGCTGGGACAACACCAAGACGCTGCCGCCCGCAAGATGACCAGGGAAGGGGATTGGCTGCAAGCGCTCCTCTCCCGGAGCGCAGCCGCACGCCCTTCCCTTTCAGCTCTCGCTGTACAGCGGATTTCCTGCTGGCTTAGTCCTATTCTCCTCAGCTCATTGCGGCCCTCCAGCATGCCTGGCCGCCTCGGCAACTGCCACCACCAGCGCGACCTGACGTATTCTTTATCCCCGGATCCCTCCCTCTCTCTCGGCACGCATTTTTTTAACGACTTCTTGCATCCCAGGTGGTGCCGGACTTCCTGCCATCTTCATTCTAGCCTGCCCATCCAGGTGTGCTACCTCCGCCACCTCCCCCCGCACTCTCACACCACCGTGCGCCCACTCCCCCGCTTCCAACCATCACCACCCCGCGCTGCACTCTCCTGCTTTCCTCACCGTTTGCCGCTATCCCTGGCTTCTGCTTCAAACTGCCAATAAATTAAAGCTGACTGCCCCACCGCTGCAAGCCTTCCATTATGAAACTCGATTTCGTTGCTTCGGTGTCGGATGAATGCCCGTGTAAGACACACGCTCGCACTAGGCCGCACCGACGAAGCGGCCGGAGCGTAGTACATCTGGCTGGCAGCTGCAGCTGTTACAGTCTGTTCCGGCTGGGGTGGGCAGTTATGGCGGTGCGTACCTGTGGCAGGGAAAATACAACTGCATGAAATGACGAGCAAAAATGATCCGGTGGCGGATGGATGGGACTGCGGCACGGCACGTGGTCGGGAGAGGCTGGTCGACGCGCAACGCCCCGCTCATACCGCGACGGCCTGCTGCTGCTGCTTGGCCGCGGCGCCCGCCGCCAGCTGCTCCGCATCCTCCAGGACCTTGTAGGCGCACTGCCGCCCGCTGAGCGTGGCGCCCTCCATGCTGCGGGCAGGGCAGGAGGCGAGCGGAGCGGGGATGCGTGTGTTCTGTTTGTGATGCTGTGCCGTGCGCCACACGCCATGGGAGGCACCCTCCTTCACCCACCACCACCCCACCA